AGTAAGGTTTGAACATTTATTAAAGGCTTTTCCACACTCATTACATTCATATGGTTTCTCATCAGTATGAATTCTCTGATGTTGAAAAAGTTGTGAATTCTGAGTAAAGGCCTTTCCACATTGAAGGCATTCAAAAGGTTTCTCACCAGCATGAATTCTTTGATGTTGATGAAGTTGTGAACTTTGAGTAAAAGCCTTTCCACAATCCTTACAATCATAGGGTTTCTCACCAGTGTGAATTCTCTGATGATTACTAAGTGCTGAACCACTACTAAAGGCTTTGCCACATGCCTTGCATTCGTAAGGTTTCTCACCAGTGTGGATTCTCTGATATTGAACAAGCTTTGAACTTTGAGTAAAGGTTTTGCCACATTCCTTACATGCATAGGGCTTCTCACCTGTATGAATTCGCACATGTTGAAAAAGTTGTGAGCTCTTAGTAAAGGCTTTACCACACACTTTACATTCATAGGGTTTTTCTCCAGTGTGAATTCTCTGATGATCAATAAGATTTGAGCAATAACTAAAGGCCTTTCCACATTCCTTACATTCATAGGGTTTCTTACCACTATGAATTCTTTGATGTTGAGAAAGGTATGAGTTACAACTGAAGGCCTTTCCACATTCTTTGCATTCAAAGGGTTTCTCACCTGTGTGAATTTTCTGATGTCTAGTAACGTGTGAGCCACAGCTAAAGAGCTTCCCACACTCCTTACATTCATAAGATTTTTCACCAATATGAATTCTCTGATGTTGAATAAATTGTGAGTTCTGACTAAAGGCCTTTCCACATTTCTTACATTCATAGGATTTTTCATCCTTATTAATTATTTGTTGTAAAGTAAGGAATGTGTGGTGAATAAATGTAGGCATATATTCACAAGTGAATGTTTCTTGATTGAAATACCCTAGCCGTCTTTCAAAGAAACTGTCTCTAAAACTGAAGGACTCAAAGCCTTGTCTTGCAAGTCCCATTGTGTCTCTCTGGTAAGACTCTATTTCATAAACTTCTTTCTTCAGAGATAATAACTTGGTTTCACACATTGATTCCAGATCTGAAAGACAACAAAAGATTGGTCTTTTTTTAAAAAAAATAAAAAGACCTAGCTACCACTGTAGACTGCTTGTTCTAAAAGGGATCACATATGAAAGTCCTCAACAAAATGAGAGAAAATGTGAAACAAAATTAAAAATTATAAAAATGGTCAGGCTGTTTTAATCTAATAGAGATTAAAGTCCTGAAACTATGGCTCTTAATCACCCTGTGAGCCTGGGACTAAACTCACTTTGATACAAAACCATCCTAATAATAAAAATAAAATATATACATACATTTAAATAGGAAAATTAAAATGAAAATAATATTGAGTAGTAATAAGTTAACAAACAGTAAATAAATAAATCTTTGGGTGGCAATACTTAAGGATACTTTGGGTAGAATGTTAAATGATCCAGGAAGTATCAAGAGAAGATGGAAGGAGTACACAGAGTCACTGTATAGAAGGAATTGGCTGACACAGAAGAATTTCATAAAACAACATATGAGCAAGAGTCTATGGGGATGAAGGAGGAAGTTCAAATTGCTCTGAAGGAATTGTCAAAAAACAAGGCTCCAGGAGTTGATGGCATACCAACTGACATATTTCGACAAACAGACACTGCCCTGGATGTGCTCGCTAAGTTATGCCAAGAAATCTGGAGGACA